GATATCAACATTTCTGATTTCTGGGCTTTTGTAATGACTTGTAAGTTTCTTATATCTGGTTTAGTTGCTTTGTTTTAGTTTTACTAATTGGAATAAAAAAATATAAAGCTGATCAAGTTTTTCCATCATGATTAGATTGCTTGATGAATCCTTGATATAGAGGAAACTAAAAATAGAAATCTAGAAGATGCTAAGTGGTGTACAAGAATTTTCTTGTAGAAGTCTTTTGGAAATTGATTCCTTTTAATTGGAAGTTTTGATTTATATTTTTAGCCGATCTCCATTTTTAAGTTTCACTTCTCTTTAGTCTTTAGCATTGGGGTTATAGTGTTTTTTTATTATTTTTTTTCCCTAATTTATCGGAAACTTAATGTTGAATTGGGATCAATTTAACTGAGAAGTGAAACAGGAGAAGGGGGACTTAACTTCTTTCTGGGGTTTCATATAACTGTTGAAAGAATACAGGGAGTAATGGAGGATGAAATTTAATTTTCCATATGAGCTAAGAAACTGTGTTGAATCACTGGGACTAAGTTAATAACAAACACAAGAAGCTTATTGTGAGAACCAGCAATGACCAAGCTGCCTTTGGTACCTCTTACTCATGAAAATAGCGGAATTAGCTCGAGTGTACCACAGAGTCGACTTGGTATCAGTATAGAGTCAATTTATGACGAATTTCAGGAAGTTGCGGGAAATTTGTTGTTGAGGGCTAGGAAATGTGGAACTTGTTTGATTTCTAGTGATGTTATTTTTCAGGAAGGCAAGGAAGATGAGCCGGTGGCACTCCCTTGTGACTAATTCTGGGATACCATATCTTCTAAATATATGTCCAACGGTACTGGTAGCTTATGCATTCGGGAACGTGCGGATATGGAAGCTAATTCTGAGTTGATATCAAATGTTTCCGTAGATGAGAATGATGGTGCTACTCATGGCATTAAGAAACTTGTTTCATGGGAATCGGATATGAAGTCGGAGATAATTAGTGATCTCGTTTCTATCGGAGAAAATTGCGAGCCTAGGGGCATTGACGAATCTAAAAGGACCTTTTCTGCTTCCCTTCTTGAGGTCCCTGCAGAAGTGAAGACGAGTTTGAATTTTCCTCCCCTTTGGGGATTCACATCTATCCGTGGAAGGAGGCTGGAGATGGAGGATACTGTCATAGCTTTACCTCGGTTCTTGAGTATCCCTTCCCAACTGTTGACTGACAGTCCAATTATGAATATCAGGCATCAAGATTTAAAAGCCCACTTCTTTGGAGTTTATGATGGACATGGGGGCCGGCAGGTCAATATTCCTTCATTGTTTGTTGCTAATTTTTCCTGTTTATATTTCACTCCTCTCGACCTCAGGTTTCCATATCTGTTTTGTTCTCCAGTATACCTAGGTAATATCTATCTTTCTATGCATAGGTTGCTGAATATTGCCGGAAACGTATTCATTTAGCTTTAGCTGAGGAGATTAATATTGCCAAAGAAAATTTTCATGACGGGATTGATGATGATTGCAATCAGGGGGAGCAGTGGATGAAGGTCTTTTTGAATTGTTTCCGTAAAGTTGATGATGAGGTTGGAGGATTCCATGGAAGAGATGGGGAAAATGCTATGCTAGAACCGGTTGCTCCCGAGGCTGTTGGATCTACAGCTGTGGTTGCAATTCTTTGTCCAACCCATATCATTGTTGCAAATTGTGGTGATTCAAGGGCAGTCCTTTGTCGAGGGAAAGTGCCCATGCCATTGTCTATAGACCATAAGGTAAGAATCATATTTGTAGAGTATTGGTTTTTGTTTATTAGACAAGGTCAGTAAAGATTATACTCAAAAGAGAATATTATTCTGTATATTTATTATTGTTGAAGATAAAGTTAAATAAGTTTGTCACCTCTCTAAAAATTGAAGCTTTTAGATGAGGTGTTTTGACATAGTATTATAGCAGGCATAGACTCTTGAGTTCAAGTCTTGCTGTAATCCATTTATTGTGCTGTATTAATCCGTTAATGAGAAAACTGAATCTGGCTGTA